GCTGGAGGAGATAATAGACAAGGGCATGACCAACCCCTATCACCTTCGGATGGCAGTGGGCGGTCAACCGGCATTCGCCGTCACGCATCTCCACAACATTGAATTCATGGAGCGACTTTTCCAAACCCTGGGGAAGAACCAGGAAATGATCTTCACCGTCATTCCACTCAGCGCCGAGCGCGCCTCGAACTTGTCGTCGGACCAGCAGGAATATTGGGATGTCCTGGTGCCCCATACCGTGCAATTGACTCCTCTTCTCCCGGGGTATCAACATCCACCGCCAAATGAAGGAGTTTCAGGCTTGCCCCCACTGCCATCGAGCAGGAACGAGGCGCCGTCGGGTGTCGGTCATCCCGCTCTCGAGTCGTGGGGACGCGTTTCTCCGCCCCGGGAGAGAGCAGGAAGAAGGAAGGCACGACTCCCTCGGGAGACCAAGGAGCAATGCATCACCGGAAATGCGGGTATGATGTCAGGAATTCTACTAAGCCCTCCCCCAGCCATCATACCCTACGGAAAGGAAGCAGAGGAGTGGAAATCGGCGCGGCGAGAATTAAGACCCAGCCGATCGGAGAAAAGCAGGAAAGGGGATCATGACCGAAGAAAACGGAGAAAGAGCAAAGAGCGCATTAGCAACAAAACAAGAAAGCGATCATCCGAGACACCCCACCTAGAAGAATGCCCTTACCAGAGCAGTGATGACGAAGAGGAAGAAATTCCAAATCCGACGAGGCATTCCCGGTCTTGGGCCCACGAAAGGCGAACGGGATCCGTCACAAGCAAGCACCCAGACGTTCGTCCAAGCGTCACGCTCTCAAACGGAAGGCAGCGACGGGCGGACGTCTCCAACCCAACTCGCTAGCATCGGCCTCCAGCACCCTACTTGCAAGAACGTATGGACCAACATACAACACTCGTGCAAGTGGGGACACCTCACCGGATGATGATGTCCAAACACAGGCATAAAATCAGATGCGTGGACGCATATGAGGCGAAGAGGGGACGGTATGACGAGTTCAACCGGCACAGCATGAGGTTAGTCGCATTACTGGGAGGCTGTTCTCTATATAAAGGAGCATCTCTCTGAGTCACTCCATAGAAGCCTTGGGACATGCATATCCCACTAGGTGTCACTCTTGACCTCTGACCCTTGACCCCTGCCAATAAGATCTCATTAGTAACACCCTTAATGTAAATAATCCCTTGCCTTTACCTTCTCCATTTTTTACTGTCAACCGGGAATTCGAGACGAAGGCATGTTTGCATCCCATTTCAAAATATTACTAAGTAATTGCCAGTAAACGATGGCCCATGCTCTGCCACAGGAACCTTTTTTAGAGTCGGCTTCCCCTTTTTTTGCGATTTCGGTACGAACAGGCCTAGTTGCAGCGATTTGTACGAGAGCGATGCAAGGGGATCTTTAGTACCGAAGGATGTAATCCTTATCTGAGATTAAGCATTTCCGACACTTCTTCTACCAGGATAAGACATTCCAAACCTCCTGCTCCTTCTGTTCCATTTTATGATTCGGAATGCTCATATGACTGCCTCTGGCGGATCGAGAGAGAGACGTATCCACCCGAAGTGATAAATCAAGGACCTTAATTGAGGGAACTAAGTTCTACCTCAATGCTTCATCGAGAGTCCACGGATTTCCTTCTCCTTTCCTGTTCGATCCCAGTTGCTGATGCCTGCAGGAGAAAGTCGCAATCCTTAAAGGTACCACCGCGACCAGTGTGACGTCCTCCTGGTGTACATTTTCTGTTTTGTTCTTAATTTCATCACAAGTGAATGACCCTTAACAAAGATTTGCAGTAAACCGAACCCTTGTGTTGTGATTCTCACCACCATTTAGGAGGCACGATTCCTCCAACCACGTAGAACCGCAACAATGTCTCCTCTTGACATCACACTACACGGAGTCAGTGCAGGCAGGTACCTCCTTGGACATTTCGGGGGTCATGAGTCGAAATAAAGAGAGGAACCTCCGCTTCTCACTTCCACTCTCCAATCATTAACTATGCAGAATTTCCCTTTTGTCTAAGAACTGTCTGACACAATGATGTCACAGCGATTTAAATAAATACACCAGGACTCAATTTCCTGTCATTTCAAACTACACTTCCGTTCCAAAATTACACTTCCTCATTTTTGAGTCGTACTGTGACTTTGAATTACGGACGACGAACTTCGGAAAAGTGTCGTTAGAGAGGGCTTGTCTATGTCCTGGGTGAAGCGCAATACAAATCTGTTCTTTCCTTTCCCCCTTGCATTTTCCGCGTGAGAGGGAGGTAAAGCATTGGATTCTTTTCCCAAGGAAAAATATAATATAGATATTTGTCACGAGGATGGAAATTTCGACTGTTGATAAGTTAGGTAAACGGCAATCGGAAAGTAATTCCCCTGCAATATTTATAATTTCAATTTTTGCTCGCTTAGCTGGAGCGGAGAGTAATTATTTATAATAGGTTCATATGGAAAATGTGCCCTTGGGGGATGTGACTCGAAAACAAAAAGTTCCGTGAAGTATCTTTAAAAAATTGTTTACTGGAGTAAAAAATTCATAGAAATATTTACCCCAAAAGATGTGAGCTGAAGCCGTACCTTAAATTAAAGCTTTTTCTTCACATCAGCTCTCCCATACCGTTTTGTACCAAATTTAAACTCTCTGCATCTTCCCGTCTGGAGATATAAGAAAAAAACTATGGAAATATTAAATGATACCCTGCCAAAAAATGCCTTTAGGGAGGTATCCAGAGATCCGTATAGTTTCCCGTTTTGCTGGAGTGAAACTGTCCCTTTAAATAGCGTTCCATCAAAATATTGCAAGCTTAGGGCTGTAAAATTTACATTTTCCTGAACTTTACACCCCAACAGCTACTGCTCTAACACGTTTCAGGTTCCAACCATGTCTTTGGCATGGTTATAATTAGCGCCAGTCATTCACGATCGTCCATAGATATAGGGGGAGTGTTGGTTACTCTTCTCATGTTGTCTTATTCATTTTTTTCTGGAAGAACTGTTTCAGGGGATTGACGATGCATAATGATGAATAGGTTGCAGTCTTAGCAGTAGGCACTGACAAAGAAAATTTGTATGCATAGTCAATTTCCGAGTAGAGTCCTAGTTACAGCCATTCCTATCTACTTTTCGGTACTATCCAAGGACGCATTCCATGTAGCACCGAGAGGCTCCAACGTATCGAATGCGGAAAGGCAGGAAGTTTCCTCGCGGGTGTTTCGTGACAGTGCTGCCATCGTGACCGGGAATACGAGGGTGTACCAGTACTAGAGGTACAAGACTAGACCTTGACCTTGTACCAGTACCAGATGGGACAGTTTGAAATCCTTCACAGTATGGTACCTTTCAAAGTGTGGATAAACACAGAGGCCATCTATTGGTGATGGTTGGAACTGACTTTTGACGAACTTTCTGGACTCCAGGTCACTGAATATGATGGGGTATCTCAAGGCGCCAAACGGCGACTGTGGCGCTTAAAGGGTTAAAGCTCGAAGTTGGGGAAACTCATGAAGAAAAGCTTTATTTTCTGCTCCGACAGGATCGGCTGGAGCTCTGAGAGTTTCCTATCGTCGTGACACGTGTTCTGAGTTCTACCCTGACTCGCCGGCAGAAACTAGCTAGGACGAGCGTCATTGGTATGGGACAGCCACGTCCGCATGAAAGAGACAAATGTGCGACAGCCTTAAGGAAAGTTGGAAGTGTTCCGTGGTTCCGGAACCAACACACGTGCGTGGTATGAAGAAGTGTGCTTCTACTCCCAACGCGCGTTTATATCGAGCAACATCTCCCGACACATTTCTTTTGATGTGTGTCGGGAGATGCTGACTGGAGACATGGAATGTTCATCTCAGAGGGTTGAAAGGTTCTCTCCTTCAACTTTCTTTAAATTTCCCAAAAATTAATTTAAGTCCGTTTCTTAACTGTGCATTACCGCTACGAAAGGGGGAACCATAGATTGGCTCTGGAAACTATGGCAATTTTGCAGTTTATGTTTGGTGCTAAAATTGATGCTGCTCTAGAATGACATTTGGGCAAAAAAGTCATATGAAATTTCTGAACGTCTAAGTGACAAGATCTACGAAATTGAGACAGAGTACCTGTCTACTCAAGAAGTCCGGACTGGTTTGCGTGACTTGCAAAATTCTTCCCCCTTTGTGGTGCGTCATTATTGGCAGAATCCACCCACCCTCCCTCTAGATTCCATTTCGATTGATCACCATTTCTTGGAACGTTATTGCCGTACACAGGTGTTCAATAATGCGTCATTGTGTTTCTGATAAAAAATGCATTACTGTGAAGTGTGTTTTAAGTTCCTCCTTTTCATTTCGAAAGTCAAAAAGGCTGAGAGATTGATGCAGAAAACTAAATTCCCTTGAGGATAAGTCATTCCTTATTAGCTCAAGCGCATTTTAAAGACTAGTATGTTAAATTGGGACTTTCATTTAATTTAAATAATCAATTAACTCTCTGAGAAAGATAATTAAAGCAGCTTCTTACGATCGCATCGAAACCCTAACAATTTTTTTACTCTTAGACAAGGAGTGCTGATGGCGATGACATTTCTTTTTTTTTTAATAGTAAGGTATAACTGACAGGTATAATGTTGAATGTCTGTGTTCTGCGCTAATACATATAAAATTCCAGTTGCGCTGCAGTGCCCGTGCTCAAGAATTTGCCGGATAAGTAGCTCAGAGTCAGCATCATTTTATTCCAGATAACACTCATCAGATATTGGAACTTGTCCGGGTATCTGTAAACTCTAATCATTATTCATCCAAGTGGCGAATTCGCCTGACATTGGGGGATCCATCCAGATGCAAAACTTCGCAAAGACATCAGAATCCAAATCGTCTAGGTAACTGCCGCCGCGGCAGTAACCCGAAATTTTCCGGAAAAGGGTTGAATTTATCGCCACCCAGGCCATACTGCAGCCGCAACTGATAGGATTCCCTAGAATGCACAAGGGAAGAAAGATGTATTGATTATGGTGCGAAGAAAACAACGGAACGGTATGGAACGCCGTGCAACACACCCCAAAGGTTAATGTATCCACTCCCAAATACGAGGACCTCCAGAATTGGGCGGAATACCTCTTCGGTCAATTCCGTGATGTTGTTAGCCTGAAGGTAAATAGTCGTATCTGGGGTCAGACCTGAAACGACAAAAGAAGAGGGAGCCTGTAATTTAAAATGTTAACATATTTTCTCATGGTTGAGAGGAGTCTTAAAAAATTGTCTGAAATCCCAACGAATTGAATTTGAACGAAGAATCATCTCAAACCTGCTATGGCATTTGGTTCTATGCTTGAGATGTTGTTGTGGATGAGTATCACATATTGCAAGTTTTCACTGTAGAATTCCAGGGTCCCGCTGAGCAGAGTAGGTCCCAGTTCGCATTTACGACATGCAAATAGCGTCAAGTTCTGGAAACCCTCGAAAAAGCCATGGGGGATCGTCGAGATGGGATTATCGCCTGCATGCAATAAAAAGATATCACATGAGAACTGCCATGCATGATTTTAAAAATATAATTGTGGGAAAAATCGAGGTCGCTTAATTCAGGCACACTTAGGGTAGCTATGAAAAGAGCTCTTCCTGATATTTAACGAGTGCCTGGAAAATCAGCAATGTGAACCATCGAAAGGCTTCAAATCGTGATTATGATAATTAGAATATACTATAATCTAAAATTCGTTCTGGAGACTGAGAATGAGAATACGGATGAAACAAAACAGTAATCTGGCCCCGCCATGAAATTGAATGCGAAGAGGGGGAAGAGGACTCAAGCACAGGCAATAACAGGAGAAGAAATCGGTGTCCCAATAATAATTTTGCTGCAGGGCTTTCGATGATAGGCATCCCTGTATTAATCCATTGACATACTTGTAGCTTTTTTCTTTGCACTTAATAGAGTTGGTTAAGGAGTTAGTTACAAAAGAGAAATTACAATAAACCGTCAGATCCTTTAATAATAAAAAACGGAACCCGGAACTCACTCAAGTCAAGGAAGGTCAAGCTTGGCGCAAACCATTCTGCCTCGAGGTTGGATATGCGATTGTGAGAAAGGATCATTTGATCAAGGCTGGGGCTTTGGATGCTTGGTATCGCAGTCAATCGATTGTATTTCAGGTAGAGTGCTGTCAGACTGGTCAGTTGAGGCAGAGTATCCCAAGGAAACTCTTTCATCGGGCAGAGCCGGATGTACACAAAGTCGAGTTGGTCCTGAGATGAGAGCAGGGCGGACGGATGGAGGGATGCCATGGTAGAATTATCCACATAGATTGTCTTGAAAGCTACGTTATTGAAGACTCCTTCGGGGAGTTCCTCCACCTGGTTATCATCGACCAAACTGAAGCCGCTGGAAGTTTGGAAGGAAAATTGAGAGCCTATCGGCATGGAGTTCTTGACACATTCAATGCTAACGCATTTTTTACGCATGCGCTGTGCATTGTGCAAGTAATAGCAACACGTAATATTATGTATTTTTATGGATGTTATGAGAAACCGAACAATTTCGGTTCTGCGAAACCAAATCCGATTCCGAATCAAGTTTAAACGCAATTTTGAATTTTAATTTCAAATTTAAATTCAAATTTATTTCCGAAGCCATACTCTACCGTAGTAACACCATACTCACCACAATTTTATATATGAACAATGAATGAGCGGGACACGAATCTATCTAGTATCTATCGCAAGTTGGCATATCGTAGAAATCGACCCCATAATGCGATCGGGAAGTTTTTCCCGGCGCTGAAACAGCATGAAAGCATTAACCGTGAGAGAGGAGATGCCCTATCCCTAGCAGGGGATCAGTTAAAATGAGTGCCACTCTCGGGAAACATGAGCGTCTTCATGATTGCATTCCAAAAAAATTATGATAATCTGTCTGTCTGTATGAGGCTGAACCTAAGGATAATATTTCCTATTCTAATATGCACTATTCTGTGTGGGCCACATATATTGGCAACAATAATTTCTAATAGAAACATCAATATCTCAGCAAGACTCACTGTAGCTATTCGCGAAATACTTTCGATGTGTCCCCGTTCTTGAATTATATTGAACGGGCATGGTCTCACTCCTTTTTGAGCACTAACCATAACTGATTCAGATCGTTGGATTTCGTTTTTAAATACTTATTGTAGACTCCACGTACAGCAATCTGTTGGAGAAAAGTTGAGGTTATAAAACAGCTGATCGTGTTAAAAAATTATTTCATGTTAAATGAAGAGCATCAAGCAATTTCGGACGTCATGCCATTTGACTCGGAGAAAGCGTCCGTTCAAGTAAATATTGGCCGCAAAACAGACGCTGACAGATCATCAGACCCATGTCATCTAAAATATGTACTACTGACCAGGAATCCCCCAGAGCGTTTATTTTTACGAATTCAATGAAATGCTTCTCATTGCCAAGAAAAGATGTGCGACAATTGAGAGGGGTGTAGTAAAAATCATGTACACTTTACTTCCGCTATTTTACCTCATCCCGGCCGATTTCCCGGCGAATTTTCCATATTTTCGTGTAAAACCTTACAAATGAACTGGTTTTTCTCTCTGAAATGGCATCACCGTACCTTTAGAAGGTGCTTGCTAAGAATCTAATAATAAAAATTGTATTCTAATATGAAGTCACATTGGGTTCTGTGGCATAAATCTGTCACAGGTTACCCAGTCTCTGTCTCACGTCAGGTTGGTGGCTGGCCAGGAGGCGTCGTTGAAGGCGGAAGATATTTGGGAGCTGGAGTTCGCCGCTGAGCAATCCAGGATTACGTAATTGCCTTCTTCATCGTTATAGCACACGCAAGGAAGAATCTCTTCGGGATGGGGGCATGGGTCGAGTCCATGTAGGCCGGATGAAGCGGAGAGGAGAAGGAATGGAATGGAGAGAAAGGAAGCGGATGACTGCATGGTCGGGTTGAGGCAGGACTGAGAATACACTGATTCGCATCCCCCAGAACTCGTTTCATAGTCATGCGATAATTCTCGCGCATGCGGGAACCAAGGGGTGGGGCATTGGGAGGCGACTTTCTCCCAATTCCTAAAACATCATCGTCCTGTGATCAGGTGGGTAGACCATCTCCATCTGGTGGATTCAAGACCGAAACATGTCAGTGTTTTAAGTCCGCTGCCCCTTTGCAATACCGAGAGCATAAGACATTCCAATTGCAAAACTCCTAGGCTGTAATTTATTCAATGATATTGGAAATAAGTCGCTGGTGGGCCGCAAAAATAAATGAAACGCAAGTACATTAACAAGAAAATCGCTTCGAAGACATTATGGGAGCATAGACTCGCTTTGTTTTTCCAACTTTGAGTCAATGGTCGCCAAAAGCAAACCTGATCGTGTGGTGAAACCCAACTCGCGCTATAAAAGTACTTCTCACGAAGCATATTGTGTCCACCCTTCAATAGCTCCTCTTCGTCCTCCTTCACCTGTTCTGTCTTTCTTCTGCTCTGTCTTCCTTCTTTGTTGTCAAGTGGAATTCTTCTGCACCACAAACGGATACTTTTTTTTTACATTTCGGTGACTGTTCTTGCATTTTCAGATAATCAGATGGATGTTAGGCATGCATGCCTTCATTGCATCCAAGAAATGCATTCATCAAGTATATGTAGACGATCATGACTGACTGACGCTAATTCTTACCATGTTCTAAAGAAGCTAGAAATCTGACATTTGGCAGTCAAGTGGCTATAGGGATGCAGAGTTCAGAAAAAGACCGACTCTGAAGTTGCATTCCCTGGGGGCACCCATTTTGGGTGAAGCAACAAACTTGCTACTACTCAATACTTATCTTTTGTATAATTCATGCAAGAGGTGTGGGAATATCAAAAGACCAGATACGGCTGACACAGTTTATCAAAACCAACAAAGACAATATAACCAAAATATATTTTAAAGCATGGGAAGCAGTTCAGTATGTGTTTGTAATTGGAAACAAACTTTTCGAACTTAAGCTAGAAATGTTATACACATTATGTATGCATTATATTGTATATTATGCATATGCTACGTCGCCCCACGATGCCGCACTGCAAGGTGGTAATTAAAGCAGTTGCCTCCTTCGGAATTGGTAGTCACTAAGAGAAAGGAGGAGAGGCGCTGCTACTCATTTCCGTTCTCACTTCCTCTTCACCCATCATTAATTATGCAGTTTCCCTTTTGTCAAAGAACCGCCTAATAGCGTGATATCGCTCTCGAGCAGCGATTCAAGTTGATACACAGGAACTCAATTTCCTTTCATTTCTAGACCACATTTCCGTTCCAACATTGCACTTCCTCATTTTTATTGGAGCTTCGACTTTTGAGCTATGGACGAGGATTATGGAAAATTTGTCATTAGCGGCTCATATACGTTCTGGATAAAGCGTAGGATGAAAATGTTCTTCCGATCAGGGAAGCGGTGGGAAGTCACATATACGCTTTTCCCCCTATCGTTTCCTGAATGAGAAGGAACTACTGAAGTTGATTTTTTATCTATTACAAGAGAAAATGTAGATATCGATCATGAGAATGGAAATTTCGGCAACTCACAATCCTTCCCAAGTTGTCTAAGTTTTGAACCAATTTCTGATAATTGGCATATCGAATCTTTGGATATCACCTCATTCTGTTTAGCATTTCCATCTGCTTAAAATTCATTTGGAACCTGCTACAGTGTAGCATGCACTTTGAATAAATTATTTCTTGAAGAAACTGTCTTCAGTCGTCGCGCCTTCGGCATCCACTCATAACGATGGGGTAAATTCGATCATCATTCATCATTCTTCCCTTCTCACTTCAGCTTTTCTTCTTTCGTTTCTGTCTTTCGGCAGCACTTTATTACATGTTTTATTACTAACACACCTAATGAATGTAAAGAAGGAAAATCAACACTGTGACTCGTGTTACTAAAGTTGCACTGAGGATATTGCACTGATGCAATTCATAGTTCAAATCCTGTTGCGATGGATTGGAAATCATTATAGCTAAGACGGACCAAAAGCATTTTCCCGTGAAAGCAAAAACATAGTAGTGACAATTAAAATGACCATTTTGTAACTCATGTTACACGTGGAAACCCATTCATCTTCAAGTCGTCGCTGAAAATTCGACTGCATTGGTACTTGAGGATGAGACGACTTCTTTCACAGGCCGCATCATGTGTCACACACCCCCATATTTTCAGCTCTTGCTGAATAACATCTTCAAAAAAGCATCAGAAACAGTGAACACTGCGATGAGTCAATACCCCATTATATTTTGTGAGCTAAATTAATAGAATTTTATGCTTATAATTATGTTGATCCCTATTTTTTCCCGTTGCCATTGTTATGATGATGAATGATATAAAAAAATTATTGGAAAAAGCCGGCCATTCTACTTTCTTGAGAACCTTGTAAAACGACACACAAATTCTATTATGTGAGTCACTAAGAAATTTCCCAGGTAAAAAATGCTTTTGGTAGATTTTACAGTTTATTTGCTATGATATGTATCCCTCACCTTTTACCTAAATGACAGCGAAGTCTTGCTTACATCCAATTAACAATAAAGCTGGATTCATTTACGGAAGATTTACACTTGCAAATCGTGTCCTTTCGTTGTAACATGAGTCACAACATTTTTTTTTCATTTTCTTGCACTCAGAAGAACTTGAAACTATTCCTAGTATTCCAAAAACAAAAGCTTAATGCCTGCAATATCTATGCCGTAAGGTGCGATCTGATATTGAAAATTCAAAGGCAATGTGCATATAATTTCTAAAAATTTTGAGCACTTTTAAATGGTATATGGTGGTGCCTCGGAAAAGTTCATCACATTCGCTAATTTGAAACTTGTGATTCCCACTAGTATGGCAGAATGGCCGGGGTTAGATGGATGTGGAAAAACTAAATTGTTTCGTCTCAAAAGCAATTTCCATTTCAAAACTGACCATTACTGACTGGAAAACGTAATTGGGATTTTAATGTCCATGTTGACTGCATGAAGAAGATACTAAATAGGAATTTATCTTGATTGCATCAAAGTCCAGAATATACAGGGTGTCCCAAAAGTTCCCGTAATTTTTTCAAACAACAATTTTTATTCAAAATCACAAAAAATATGATGACAAGCGACCACACAATCGAAACCTCACACTCTCTATATTCATTATTCATTCGAAGTGGCCGTCTCTGACTTTGATACATTCCCTCAGTCTAATTGGAAAATTGTCGACGATCTTGCCCAGTTTCCACAGTGACCTTGTCCCAGGTGCCCAACCCCTGTCGTTTTGTCGATTGTGGCCTTGCTCGTTCGTGAAAAGCTTCTCATCTGAAAACACAATTCGACGATGCAAATTTCGAACGAACCTGCATTTCAGCTGGCGACATCGCTCGAGTCTTGCTGCTTTCATAGCTTCTATTTGCAATTGTCGTTCTTGATTTTTGTACGGCTTCAACTTCAGATGCTCCGTGAGTATATGTTGAGCAGAATTCTTTTAGATATCGAGAGCTTTGCCGAGTTTTCTTGTGGATCAATGTGGATTGCGTTGAAATCAGCTTTTGATGCATCGTCGGTTAGCAGCGGTCCTTGCATATTTCGGACGACCACTTCTTGCCCTGTCTACATTACTCCTAGTATGTTGGCAATGTTTGACGGCATCAGAGACAGTTGACAACGGCGCATTGAACAGGCGGCTGATCTCGGAAATTTTATTTCCATCTTTGAATAAACTGACGATTGCACTGCGAAAATTATCCATGGCTTAAAATACCTGTTGTGAGATTTTATTTACAATAAAGAAAGTTTATAGCTCAAACGAAAGAGGAGGAAAAATCATTTAAGGTTATGTAAAATGCAAAACATTTTGCTAAGTGTTTATGGGTTAAAACAAGCACAGAAAAAAAAATCGCGGGAACTTTTGGGACACCCCGTATAGTTTCTTTATTACAGGTTTTGGTCATAAACGATGACGTTCCTTGGTTTTGGTGCTCGCGTCGTTCACATGGCATTGTCCTACAGCGTAATCGAAGGACATGTAGTAAAAGCAGCTGTTCTCAGGGGGCGAAGTGCTGTACCTTCGCGACGGCTCTTTCTTCTAATGGCAGGTAGTCATTTCTCCAAGGGAAATACGTATGGTTTGATGACGTTCATCGAGTACTGCTCGTATTGCTAGTATCTCATACACCAATAACACAGTCATGATGCCAATGTTATAGGAATTGGAGCAGTTTCATACCATTTACCTTCATCGTACTAATTTGAAGCCAATGTCGATATTGAGAAACTCTCATGAGTTTTGAAATGAAACTTCGTCATTTTGGCTAAACTTCTTTGGCGTTGTTTCCATGTTGGTTTTCCATTAATTCAAGGACGTTTGCTGGTTTCAGATAACAGGTATATATTTCCTCATTCCATCTTTCATGATGGTTCAGGATGAATAATAATTGCATTTATTCCATTTGCAACTCACAAAAAGGCAAGGGCTTCATTTACTCTCATATTGGGATACGTATAATGAGTCCGTGTTGAACGCCTCAGTTTGATGGAAACCAGTTCCTGTTGCGTTGCGCTTCCCCGTTCTGTTTCACTAAAAGCACCGGATTAGCAGATTAGAGTCAACATCGTTTTATTCAGGATGAAGCCTGATGCCTTGAAATGTATGACCGTCTGTCCATCTACGAACTTTAATCAAGATCGATCCAAGTGGAGTATTCGCCTGGCATCGGGGGATTCATCTTGATACAAAACTTCTTGAAGACATCAGGATCCAAATCTTCCATGGAATTTCCGTCGTGGCAATAGCCCAAAACTCTACCAAAATAGTATGGCTCGACCACCACCCAGGCCATGCTGCATCCGCACATGATAGGATTATCTAGAATAGACAATAAGAAATTTCTTATGAGGCCAATTAAACGACGGGAAAACATGAGACCCGTGCAACACACCCCAAAGGTCAATGTATCCATTCCCATATGAGAGGACGTCCAGCATTGGGCGGAATGCCTCTTCGGTTAATTCCGTGATGTGGTTCGCCTCAAGATAAATAACAGTGTTGGGTGTCAGACCTGAAATGTCAAACGAATAGGGAACCTAACTTGCAACTTCGGGATTTTCAATATATTTTTTCTGGATCACAGAAGAATTCATTCAAAGAAGGAAATAAGTGGTCTGAAATCCTCCAAAAGTGAATTTAAAGGACAGAACACGTGTTACCTGTTATGGCGTCTGGTTCAATGGTTGAGATGTTGTTGTGGATGAGCGATAATTCTGTTAAGTTTTCGCTGCGGAAATTCAGAGTCCCGTTGAACAGAGTCGGTCCCAGCTTGCAACTATTGCAATCAAATTGCACCAAGTTATCGAAGCCCTCGAAAAAGCCATGGGGGAACCCAGTGATGGGATTGCCACCTGCATGCGATGGAAAGGTATCACATGAGAGCCCTCATTTGCAACATTATGAAGCATGATTGAGGAACAGTCGAGGTAGGAAAATCCAATCAAATTTCGCGCTACTACAAAATTAGTTATTTCTTTCTATGGGAGGTTCGTACACAAAAATGGGAAAGTGCGAAAATCCCAATATTTTAACTATGAAGATGTTAATTGGGTATTTAAAAAAATTAAACTAAGGAGAGAAGGACGAAAAGAATGCAGAGAAATAGTCCTCTGGTTCCTTCGGAATGTGGAAAAAGAGGACGCCGACCCAAGCGCAGACAAGGATTTGAGGATAAATGTGGTGCTCCTGTAATAACTTTGCTGAGAGGTATTCTTAGTTGAACAACTGTTATACTAGTGGTTTTTTCATTTGCACATTACAATCAAATTATGGATCAGGGGTATGGTATGAAATCACAAAAGACAGTCGAAAAAAAAAGATATTGCATTCTGTCATCGCATTGAAGAGTACGGTACGGACTCATGATGAGTGCGGTAAGGTTTGGCGCTTGCCATCCAGCTTCCAGTTTGAATATTCGATTTTGAGAAACGACCAAGCTCTGAAGGCTGGGGCTTTGGATGCTCGGAATCGCAGTCAACCGATTGTTTTTCAGGTAGAGTGCTAGGAGACTGGTCAGTTGTGGCAGGGTGTCCCAAGGAAACTCCTTCATCGGGCAAAGCCGGATTTGCACCACCTTGAGATGGTCTTGAGATGAGAGCAGGGCCGATGGATGGATAGATGCCACTTTCGCGTTCTCGACATCAATTATCTCAAAAGTTACTCTCTTGAAGACTCCTTCTGAAAGTTCCTCCACCACGTCATCATCGCCCAAGTAGAACATCCTGGAAGTATACAAAAGAAAAATGGAGGCATCCTTAAATGGAAGTATTGATTAAATTGTGCAACGATCTATGAAGCAATAGTGGCAGAACTGATTCTAACTATTCAATAGATAAGATAGAAAGGTGAAACGTGGTGCAGAAGCGGCTGTTGGGGAGCTGATTTTCGGGAAATATATGATTTCTGAAACATCCATTGGGGAACATACTTTTTTGGGAGGAGAAGCGGGAGGACACAAATTCTTGACATTTCCAATGGAGGGAAATACCCTTTTCAAATATTTTCTAGAGGTGCCATATAGTGAAGATAAATTCTCTGCCACTCCCATGCAACCTTATTTCATTAATCAATCTTACCAATTTTTACTAACTAATTTATCTTCCCAATCCCTGAATAAAATATTTTTCTAGGAATAAATTTCATTTATGATATTTCAATCGCAACTCTGCAACAATGTAGGGCCCTCAGAAAGTTTCTGGATGTAGCTTCATGGAAAGGGTCACATATGAAAGCTCTTTCTTTACAACTTCACCTCCATGCGATATGAGACTGTATTCAGATTTTCAAATGTATACTTCTCCAGGTATTTTATTCATGGCATTTCATTCCCTGTACGCCTAATTTATTTTTGTTATTTGGTGGCCTCAGTCACATCTGATGATGTGACGTATTTCTGTCACTGCTCACAACTCCCTTCAAAATTCAGTAAACCTGAATAACAATTACACATAGCATATATTTTCTAACTCCCACGGCAATGCTCTGCCCTTGCGTTGAAAATCACAAAAGTACTCGTGGCCTGGTTTCGTTGCCAGAGAAAAACGCTTGCATATATGCAGGGTATAAAACTGGCATTTAAACAATATCCGACGAGGTGTTTGCTTGAATATTTGCTCTCAGACTCAGCAAATGGAGCTAAAAGTGTAGAAAAGCGTTCATTTGTGATCATTTCCTTTAAGTGACATCCAGAAACTTTCTGAGTGCCTCACGCACTTGGAGGTTCCTTCAGCGCTGGGCACTACGATGAAAGTCTTTCCGAATACTTGATGGACGATGGTTTTTCCTATTATTATTTCTAATTATATACACAAGTGCCACTGAATAAAATTGTTGGATGTAATAGTAGTCATGGCGGATCACTACAAAAGCAAATACATCCAGGTCATAGCAAATGCATTTCCGTGAAATATCCATCGCAACCACCATAGGGATATCTCGTTTTGCTGAATGCATTCTGCACATGCAGCAGGAATTCCTCATTGCTCCATGAAGCCACGTTCTGGTGAAACATTTCAATAGCGCAACGCGTGCTACAGAATCATCTCTCACTCTATATTAGATCTCGAGCAATAAATTGTCATTTGGTAATGTGGCATTCTCGCTGATTCCCAAGGAAATGCCATAGTACTATTGGTTGAAAATTTTCCATTAAATACGATGAAAAATTTGAGGAGGCAATCATTGGCTTTCAGTTGGGGAACGGGGATTATTTTCAATTCCTTTTTAAAAATAATGGTTGTATTTCGTTCTAAAGGAAGAGGAACGGACAAGATTGAGGGCGTAAATTGCTAACTGTAAATATGTGTCGCATCATATGGCTGGCCGATCCAACCAGGGCATTAAAACCACGAACTTTCTATTTTGGACCTTCACTCGACTTGACATGATATCACTTGAAAGTAAACTCAAGTTGGCCATAAGCAAAACGCGTGGAGCAAGATAATACTAATAGACCCAGTAGTTGTTCCTGAAGGAGAAATTATCAGTTGCCAGATGATGAGAATATATTCAAGACGACTTCCAATTCAAAGTCATATTCATCCAAATTATGTGTAATTGTCTAGAGATTTTCCATAAAGCTTCCTCTTCCTACTTGGAAGCAAAAAGTATCCTCTCCCAAGGAAAGGTGTGGGTGCAGTGGAGAGCGATGTAGCACAAATGATCTGAACTCTCTAGTGACAGGAAGTAATGAAAGCTTGTCTCTGTCGACTTCACCGACAGCTTCCATTTTTTCCTCTTTGACCAAATATAGCTCAGTGGCTCCATGGAATCGCATCATTGTAACTGCAATATTCATAGTACTGAACATTCAAATTGCTATCTTGTGTGATACCGCTTTAGTCTTAGTGGTAAAAATCTGTCACAAGTCATGCAGTATCGGACTCACTTCAGTCTGTTGGTGAACCAGAAGGCATCGTTGAGGGCGGAAGATATATCGGAGCTGGAGTTCGCATCTGAGCAGTCCAGTATTATGTCGCGGGTTTCTTCAATGAAGGAGCACACGCAAGGGAAAATTTCGTCGGGGTAGGGACATGGGTACAGACCATATGCGCTGAAGAAAACAGAGAGGAGAACAAGAGGGATGGAGAGAAGGGTAGTGGATGACTCCATGGTCGAATTGAAGCAAGAATGGGAATGCGCCGATTCGCATCCCCAGGGTATATCATATAGTCCTGCGCCTCCTCTCGCGCATGGGCGGACCAATGGGTGGGGCACGGGGAGGGAACTTTTTCACAATTCCCGAAGCATCTTCATCGTGTGGTCAGGTGGTAATTCCATCTGGAGACGTCCATCGGTAGGATTTCAAGGTGGAAAATGACAACCATGTCCCCTGCACCTTGCATTGCTGATAAAGGATTGAGATAATAAGTAATACTACTGGCAACATTTGACCGCGGGGCAAATGGCAGATTTTGAAGTCACAACCATTCGACCGGTGCCGATTTTGGCAGACTAGAGATACTTATCAGCTGCCTCCTTAAAACGAGAGTGACCACTTTTAGGCCAGGCTCTCTGCCAGTAATTAACTTGTAGCCTCTTGCTGCTCTTTAAGAGCATTTAGCAACTAATACTTCGCAAAAGCAGAACGCGAAAGAATAAGCAATGATTTGTCGTTCTTCACTGCTGTATTTATTCGCTGGTTCCTACACTCGTGTTGATATAGTTTTCTCCGGGAGCGGCAAGTAGTAGTGGTTTTCAGCAAGACACTAAGCCAAGACGTGTTAATTTTTTTTTCAACTTTGGACATTGGCATCGTCAACTTGACGCCAAGCCGATGGCGCCGACGGGGAAACACTGGTGGCCGATGCCGGTGATGGCCAATACATCGGTGCAACGATAAGGCATTTGAAAGGCGAAACTTCAAGACGATGTTCTCCTTTCAAGAAATGTTGTTTCTCAACAGTGAAAGTGGCTTTCATTTTATGAGCTGAAAACCGCTGGAAAAAAAGGAAGATCGAGCTAACAGTAAGTCCACTTCCATTGAACAGGTCTAGCGCTTTGGAGGTTCATTGGGAATATATAGACTATAACTTGCAACTGGATTTTTTATTTATTACCGTTTTCGACGTCAGGCTAGGATTACTTCTCTATTTTTATTGGGAGAACTCACCTCATCTCCTTCACCCCATCATAGAAATCACGTAGATGATGTTGAAGTTGGGATTATTTCCATGTACGTGGCGGAGATTTCGATCGGCCTGGGCAAAATTATTTATTATATCACATCTTACGGGAAGTTCGAGCAGAAATTTAGTTCTGTAATTTTTCATTTTGTAGAATCTGCAAAAGTCATTCGGGAAAGCTTAAACTCGGTACCTTAGATAGATCAAAATCACTCATCGAAGCACCAGGTAGCTGGTCTCGAAAGACGTTTCCATCTAAGTGCGTTCACATTAATGCAATTACCTGCCATTTTCAATGCAAATATGTTCGTCTGTGGAAAAAAGGCCTTCAGTAAGACTCCCGGGTCGTCATGTTCTCTCAGACTGGGATCTGTAGCAAGGTAGATAGAACATGGTGCAATGAAAGAATTCCTCCTGGAAACCACCTGATGGACGGTTTCGGGCCGTGCTCCGAGCTGTTCAGTTCAATTTTTTAGGAGGCAAAAGAAGCCCCATCCGCAAAATTTATGCTGCAGGCATACGGGAAAGAGAAGCAAAAAAACGTTGATGGTGACCTCGAGAAATGATAATCTGACCTTGAAATATTGCACCTAATAATATTGTTCATAGCATGACTAATCGGAAATGCAAGAGCGTTGTTTGGAATTCTGGGAAAACCTTTGTCCCAGATTAAGTCAGATGCGCACTAGGAATAAAACGCTAGATATATGGTCCGTGTTTCGCCCTTTAGAACATTCTAACTCTCCACCAGGTGCCTCACAATTTCATGGAGTCTGTGCAACAGGTGTTCCCGAAAACATATGTATGGGTCGTGTATATAAAGAAAGAGAGACACCGCCCTTCATTTCCGGTCTCGCTTCCCCTCTCCCATCATTCATAATCCGGGTCGTTCCATCGTGACTCCTGTTACATATGCGCAATTATTTAAAAAAATTAATTCCATCCTGCCCTCTCAATTTTCAAATTCAGATCGTCCTTGAATGCATAATGATTGCAGGCATTGAGCTTTTCTTGGAGATAATGCTAAGAATATTTTTAAGCTCTTATGAGAGCGAGAAAATGGAAAAAGGTTTTCGTAACTAATGTTACAATGGAAGGACACGATTTCCAGTGTAGTTCTTCCGTAAATAAATCCTGCTATATTTTAGATTAAATTTGGACAGCAATTCACTGCCATTTAGGCGAAATGTGAGGGATATACATAAGAGCAAATAAACTTTAGATATTTTTTTAACTAGGAAGTTTCGCCGTGGCTCAGGTTACGGAAAATGCGACTCATCGAAAATGCGAAAATAGCAAACTTTTGCCATCCTTTATTAGAATCATTCATCATCATACCAATGACGCGAACTATAGCAACCGTCGTACCGATCTTTAAGAAGGGTGAAAGGAGTAATCCAAGGAATTACAAGCCGGTAAGTCTCACGAGTATCCCAGGGAAGATCATGGAGAGCATCCTAAGGGACCACCTCTTGGATTTCCTGAAATTTTCCGCTCATTCGGGATTCTCAACATGGCTTTAGGGGGCGTATAAATTGTCTCTCCAACTTGCTCGAATTCTACGATTGGGCGACGGAGGAGAGGAATAAGGAGAATCCTGTGGACATTGTCTATTTAGATTTCGCGAAATCTTTCGATACCGTTCCTCACGAAAGGTTGCTGTTTAAACTGAATCAGCGCGGGATCCAGGGTAGGACGAGCGAGTGGATCAGTAGCTGGTCGACGGGAAGTGAGCAACGAGCAATGGTATATGGGGAAGCGTCGACAGGAGTTGGAGGCGTAAGCGGTTGTCAAGCGGTTGACAGGAAGAGGGCAACGAGGCTTGTGGGACACCATTTGCGACTCCGACTTCCTCCGACTTCCTTCGAAGTCGAAGGAAGTCAGAGTCGCAAACGGTGTCCCACAAGGCTCTATCCTTGAACCGGTTCTTTTTTTTTGTTCAACATAAACGCTTTGGATCTCAGAGTAACGGGTAATATAAGTAAGTTTTTCCGACGACATCAAGATAGGTTTTGCTATAAGGAGGGAGGCGAATAGGGCTAGAGCCGAGCGAGATTTAAGTCTTTTGGATGAGTCGAGCAAGAAATAGCTCATGATTTTAAGTAAGTAAGTGTACAATTATTAACGTAATTATCAACGAAATAACGGTAGGTCTCTCGCACGTTCGGCGAGGTTAAACTGGGAGGAGGCAAACGGAGAGAGAAATTTAGACGATAACCTCAAGTTTGCCTCGCACGCACAAGCGACAGTAGCCAAATGCGACAGGATTCTAGGTTTCATTCGTCGTTCGGTTGCAAGTAGGACTTCGCGCGTTATTCTTCCGTTGCATGCGGCACTGATAAGACCCCAGTTGGAGTATTGCATCTAGTTTTGGAGACCTACATATTAGGGCGATTTGTTTTCCCTCGAAGGAGTACAGAGGAGGGCCACCATAACGATTAAGGAGGTTAGGGGACTTTCGTACGAGAAGCGTTTAGGAATGCAGGGACTATACTCTCTCGAGAGAAGGTTAAGGGGGGGGCGATCTCATCTAGGCTTTCAAGATAATTAAAGGCATCGGTAATGTCGAGTGTGGTAGGTTTTTCCAGTTCGATGGAAGCAAGATAAAGAGAGGTAACCGACTTAAGTTGCGCAAACCGCAGGTGCGGCTCAGGTCGAGACGGGAATTCTTTAGTTGCAGAGTGGTAAATGCGTGGAATGTTTTAGATTAGGCAGTGGTGGCTGCCCCTTCTGTTACTATTTGTAAGAAGAAACTGAATGCTTTGATAGACAGGCAAAAATGTAGGCAGCATTGAAGATAGGGACTAGGCAGTAAGCAACCAGGATACGCGAAAAAATTAGCTTTAAGAGGATTAGGCCTATCCCAAAAGTATGGAACGCTCGAACTTGACACGTGATATCGAAATGGGTGTAATCGCCTCCTGATGTCACTACCTTGAACCTTGAATGTGAATGACAGCGATGATAACATGCATCGACTTAATTAGGCACCTTTTACCTATACATGATTCCAATCCATCACAGTAGGACTCAGACCATTAATTGCAACGTGAGTCACAAGTGACACGAGTCACACAGTGTTGATGTTCTTTCTTTACATTGATTTGATTTGTTTGTGAGTGCACCCTCTGCACGTAGCTTCAAAATGTTCGCGAAAAACGAATCATTTTGTGAGAGGTTACATCTACCAATATTTGCATGCAATATCCCTGAGAGCTTTCCATTGTGCCATCATTGTAGAAGGCTTGGAAGTGTAACGGGTCACCGCCCTTCCAGACATGTCGTCCAGAGAAAGAAAAAGGTGGCATGCTGATTCAGGAGACGGATGGAAGTCAGGGTGATAAGCTGAGGAGACAAGGGGAAAACGTATGAGGGGACATTATCCCAGGGATGCCGGATCGGGATCACCATCCCCGCCTTTCCAGAGGTGACTCCCAGTCAGGATCCGGAGGACAATATCGTCGGACATCCCTGTCCAGAAAACCCATTTCGCAACCAATGGCTTATGAGACAACTTCATTTCCAAAACCATTGGTTGGACAGGTACATGTTCGGGGATACGAACCAAGAAATTAATGAAGATGATTTTGTCCTCGAGTGCGTTTCCCAATAAGATCTGTTCCTGGGGATTGAACAACCAATGGGCGCAAGCTACCAGCCAAGAATCCCTCCTCCAGGAACCTCCTCAGCCACCCTGAAGAAAAAGGGAGAGACGTCGTCCGAGAACTCCAGTCCCGAGAGAAGCGAGGGGACTCGGCCCTGCCCTTGATAGTGGAGTTCTTCCCTCCTCAAGTCCGACCAGAGTGTTAGTGCCCCGATTCGAAAAAAGTTCGATCCGAAAGAGTAGGTCTCCCGATTGATCCGAAATCTCTCTCTCTCATATGCGCGCTTGCTCAGGAACCGGGTAGCTCCTTATTTGTTGATTGTGAATCTTGTAACTAACAACAATTTTGTTTCTTTATATTTTGTTGAACAACCTGGTAACCTTTAGACACTTAAGTAATAAATTAATTATCAGACTCGGTTGTGGGATATTTCTTTCTCGGCCGTGAACAGGCACGAACCTTTCCTCCCGAAGGAAGAAAGAGTTTCTGAAAGGAAAGTTGTCAGGCGCGGGACGCTAGGAAGCGAATTTGATCAAATATTTGTTGTCTGTACTTAACAACCTGCCGCAGCGCCCCGTGCCCGTGACATGCATAGAAATTCGTGCTTAAAAAAGGCCGAAGTTCTACGTTTCTGATTATTTCAACAGAGCAATTACCCATAATTAGGCGGGATTTTTGGGCGATGCCTATAAAAGAAATGCCCTCGTATATTGCAGGAAGAATTGGAAAAAAAAAAGTTTTGATAAATAAGATGCAAAATACCGATCTCGGCGATGAGTTCCTGCCATTCGAGGTCAATGTGGAAGATGGGGCCCTGGATGTCCCTGACTCGGGCTGCCAGTGCTTGGGTGGAATCCTTTCCTCCATCTTCTCTTACCCTCTTCAAGGCACTCTGAATCAACCGACTCTCCTGTCTCTCCCTGTCGTAAAACCACAGAACTGAAGGTGTAGGTTCCCTGAGTTACTTGCAGATGACTAGTTTCGCTTTTTTTTTCTCATTGTTTTGCATTCGTTTCACACCAGTGCAACAATAAGCAATAAATTGAATTTTGAATCACACCAGATGGAGACTCTACGGAGAGCGTTTCTTTCCCCATCCGCCTTCATTTATAAATATCTAGACTTACTAGGCTTGAGCATTTGCATCCACTTTTGAACTGACCAGGGAATGATACAGATTTTCCATCCTGACTTCTGCCGGAGAAAGTGACAAGATGAACAGGGACGCGGACAGGGATTTTGCTTCCAAGCCTTGGCTCAGGTCTCGTACTATATGTCTATCACATCCACCCTCTCAACATTTTCACGCTCATTAACTTTTAATTAAGTTATTAAGTAGATGTCTTTTTTTCTCATTTCCAAGGATAATTAGGCATCAGAACTTACA